AGAAACTGCGCAGCAACATTAGAAAGCTTTCAGAAGAGCTTGGATCATCAAAACAAACATTATATATAAGCTAATAATAAAACAGATTGGACTCCTTGTGAAGTAAAAAATCGAAAATACTTTAATATACTGAAATTTTCCATTAGTTACAAAAATATGCACATAAAATATTTCAGCAAGAATTATTTGTTTTGATTCTCTATGGTATGCTTACGTTCAGATGATTTTTCGTTAGATTTTTTTCATGTCTTTAGTTTTTATGCCATTCCCTGAGTTCATTTGTTTTTATAATGTAGACATACCCGTACCCACAGTTAAACTGTCAGTTTCCTCGATAAAGCTGATAACGTTATTTGTTCACGACTGCTTTACTAGAAGAGCTAAACACAGCCATCTTGGTGGAATGAACTTTGATCGTCTTTACCCGTTTTTTTTTTTTTTACGATGTATCCATTCCAGAGAAGTAAATCACCAGACATGACCTCTTTGAATATTCTTTAGTGAGAAGTTCACAGTTAGCATTACGTCATCTCTAAATTTCAGTAACAAAGAAAATGAACGACCAGTTTTCTCAATAATGATAATTAAATCTGTATAATTGTTGTTGTTCTGAAATTTACTGAATTTAGTATTTTTTACTTAATGTTGCTGTTAGTTTATTTGTTTTTACTTGTTAGATTTTTCTGAAATATGAAATATTATTGATTTTTAATACTGGCTTTTGATTTCCCTAAAGTAACGAAACTTCGGAAACATCCCAGTTGGCTTATGAGAAACATTGTACGAAAAGTTCTGGAAAGGGAACTGTCTTATTTTATCATTATTTTATTATTGTCAATGACGCTTGTTGGTAAATATTATGCTGTCATAAGTAATTTCCATTTGGGCGAAATATTTGTAATATTTTGAAGAAGAAAGTTGATAAACAAAAACGGAAATTATTTATAACTCAACCCAATATAATTCAATTTTTATTTACAACGTATTTTTAAATAAATTTGTTTACTTCATATAATGTATTCTTTCCAAACGTTGTACAGCTGCAATACTCTTATATTCGCTCGTGTTTTTTGTCTTTAATTTTTTTTGTTATTATTTTATTTCTCACTTTCTCACCCGTAAGCATTCTTTTCACTAGAACACCTGGCTTACGACCATATCACGCTGAAACACCTGTTCTCGTCCGATCACTGAAGTTACGCAACGTCGAACCTGAGATGAGTAACTGCTTGGGAATATCAGGAGTTGTAAGCTTGGGGGTGTGCGGGTGGTGTAAAAGATAACAGATTGGAATTAGAAATTGGAGAGCCGAGTTTCAATTCAAGACGGGTTCGTTATATTCACAAATGCGCAAATACCCTTGGGAGAGGTATCAGTCTACTTCTTCTACCCCACTAACTATGGGTTAAATTATAGGATTTATATCAGTAAATCCTTATTTTCTCCAAAAACTCTTACGATCCATAAATATTTTCTGACCTTCAAAATGGTTAAGATCTAAAAAAACAAATCAATCAATCTTGACGACATCTTTTTTCTTTATTTTCCTATACGATGATTTGTCGCAAATACTTGAATCTATTATCATCATCCACAGACCCTGAAGGAAAAAAATGAAACTTATCAAAATAATAATTTTTCTCAGTTATTCGGGTGATAATCATTTATTCCCAAAATATCTTCTGCCGTCCGTCTGTTTCCTTTGTTTTTCTCTCTACGTTTATCTTATAAATTTAACGTTTACAATATTACTCTTATTTATTTGTATAATCTATAACAGATAAATAAAATCTGTCACCTTTTCCTTTTTTATTCTTGCAAAGGAAAACAAATAAATAAGGAAAATATTGTCTCCCCGAAAATATCTCCCGACTGAAGAAATCATTTCTTGGTAATTTGAATACATAAAATTTAAATAACCGTTAATCGAGATGAAAAACCTGAGATATCCATTATATTAATTTCACGTTCAAAATGAACAAAGATTCATTAATAAAAAAATAATTTCTAAATATCCTCCATTTACTTTTGCTGTATCTAGTTATCAAACACCATCCATATTTTCTGAATAAATAAAAACGAAATTTGCTGTGTGGCCAATCAATTCTTTGTAAGTGCAATACTGCTTCAACGTATTTATACGCAACTTGTGTGTCACAACACACAAGTTATCCTCTTCGAAAATGGGCTCGAATTTTGGCTGATTTGTTGTCGATGCATTTTAGTTGCACGACAATTGTGACACCCACCGGTGGTCACGGTCGCAGCGCCAGCGCCAATATGTGACGGCCACTGGTCGCGACGTCAATATATGACACTGCGCCGTCGGCCCGTGGTCAACTCCCAGTTTCGGCGCGAAGCTGTAAGGTTACTTCCACCAGTTTGTGGGGTTGACTCGTTGTCGCTGCCAGTGTCCCGGTCGATCTGGTCGTTCCCGGTTCGATACCAACTTGTCGTTCCCAGCTCATTTCCAACGTCTGGTTACCGAAGTAACTACTTTGATCTCAAGTCTAGCCTAGATGAAATCAATCAGGCGTCGGGCCGTAGTGCAAGCTGAATCAGGGGTAAAGGTGATACCGCACAAGCGTAAGTAAAAGAAAATAATAAAACAAACTCACGAGGTTCAAATATGTTGAGAAATAACAATTATCTTTATCTATCTGTTCAATACAGGTGTGTGCTCCTCTCCCAGTCCGTTTCTATGGATTCGTGACACTTTTTGCGTTTCTTAAGCAAGTTATGGTATCTTGAGTCGTTCGTCAATAAAAACTTGCTTTTGGTAGGAAGACTAAGTCGAAAAGGACGTGGAAATCTTTCGGTCAGCTTCTGCGAGGCTGGTCTCCAACTGCAACTCCGAACTCTCTTGAAACTCTGCCGAAACTCTCTTACTGCTTCGAGACGTTCGTTTATATGAACACCGACCAACTCCGTTGTGGGGGTCTGTCGTGATTTGGGTTCTTTGACAATTCTCAATTCCCAACAGGAATTCTCTTTGTTCTTAGGCCAGGAAAATTAATTACTTCCCATTTTTGGAAGAAGAATCACTTTCCATTTCGGGGGTTTCTCCCTCGTCCGTGAGGGAAGGTCGGAGAAGCGTTATCCTCCCAGATTCTTTCTCACATTGGTATCTCATACCAATCCCCTCAGTTGGTGTTAACAACTTCTCCATCTTTCTCATACATTCGCCTCCGCCTATCACCCATGCTACCAGTTGGCCAATGATCTCCCGGCCGTGTGGGTGTGGCTAGACTGGCCCTCATGTTTACAAAATCCGTTTTTTTTCTTTTTCCTTTTCCTTCGGCCAAAACATTTACAAATCCCAGATTGCCGAATAATTCTTTATCACATCGTAATTTTGGGGACACTCAAATCCACTTAGCCCGGGCCTCTATCGACTCATTAATCATTGCCGGCACCCGACATTTGGCTTCTCCGCTAGTCAACTTTTAACTGGGTGGTCAAATTCTTTATTTTTCTCATGCCTTAAAATTCTCTTATCACCAGATGCTCATTTTCGAGACGCTATGTCTAACATCAACAGTTTGAATAAGCAATAATAATGATCCTCTCTTCGACTCTTTTTTTTTTCATGTCAAGATTCGTACATATACCAGATGGGTCTCTTCGCTGGAGCCAAGAACCAAAATTAAATGATACCTCTGAAAGATAATTAATAGCTATTCTCCAGGGTGGTCCCAAGCCAAATTTTCTCCACGGCCGCATGCGTCGGCCGGCTTTGTTTTTCTATTTGAATTCTGTTTATATTGGCGCGTCACCCCCCCACTTTATCGTGACATTAATTAATTTTGACAGAATCACAGTCCCGCTTTTTCTTACGGATTTTCTGTCTTTTGCCAAAAGTATCTTTCTTTTGTAAATAAAATAAATTCTTTTTTTTAATGTCTATCTTTCGATATAGCTCTTTCTCGCCTTAAGTATTTCCCGTTTTTAATTTCTGCGGTTAACTAGTTAGCCAATTACCATAGCTAAATAGTTTCACACAATCATAATAGTTTAAATATGGAATTTTACTTTTCTCGCGTATTCATTTTTCAATGAAATTCTTCCGATATTTTATTGTTACATCTTCTATGCACCCTGGCTCTCCACAATTTCCTGTCCTAAATTTTGTCTTTTAGCTATCTCTCCTAATCCCTGTTCTGCCAACTCCAGCTTGTTAGGCACGTTATTTACTGCTTTCCTCTGTCCCTCTTGCCTTCGATATGTCCTGTAAGTGTTAGATTTTTTAAGCCTTCTTTGGAGTCTTAGAAATTTCAACTAATTTTTTTCTGATGTTAAGTGTCCTTTTTGATTCCGTTATCTCTAAAACTTTGTGCTCGGTCCATCACATCATCCTTCTGTAGAAGTATATTTTGATTGCTTTAATTTTCTTCTTCATCTATGAGGCAGCATTCACTGCCATATAAGAAGACCGATATTACATAACCGTTAAGTACTCTTTGTTTCTGACCAGATATTCCTATTTCTTAATACTTATTGCTATATAAAGTAATACTTGTATAAAGACATAAATAAGTTCAGTCAGCCGTGAAGTTTCTTTCCTAAAGAAAAGAGATCGTCTTAGTTCCTGACAGTATCACAATTCGATTCACAATGAATACATTTGTTGAATTGCTCCACCTTGTCTCTTAAAGTCCGCTAAATGGCGTTATATAAAACAATATAAATGGAAAGGTCACAGATCCTCTCTCTCTCTCTCTCTCTCTCTCTCCAACGACAAGACGCCGTAATGACAAAACGTGTCTCGTTTCCCCTCACTACACTACTTTCTTATTTGAGAAAAAAACTCATGTGGCCACAACCTGTCACATAAATACATATCTCTCGCCAATCCGAGAAGATACTGCACTTTAATAAAGAAGACAATTTAATAAAGAAGACAATTTAATAAAGAAGACAATTTAATAAAGAAGACAATTTCCGATACAAACAGATGAATATCGTAAACACATTGTCAGTCACTTTCTCACTCATAGTAGGTACTCGTAAGATCACCGAAGTTAAGCAACGTTGAGTCTGGTCAGTACATAGATGGGTGGTCGCCTGGGAATACCAGATGCTATAAGCTTGGATGTGTGTGTAGTGTAATGGATAATGGCTCAGAATTGTTAATCAAAGAGCCGAGTTCGAATTCCTGTTTGTTATATTCACTTACACACAAATACTCTTTGGAAAAGGTATGAATCGATCTCTTCTCCTCCCAGTTAGGGGCTAATTAGTAGGACTTATATAGAAAAAAATCATTATTATCTTTAAAAATTCTTGGGATCTAAAAATATTTTCTGGCTTTAAATAACTTACAAAAAAGTTGATAAGCCGTAAAAAAACAAATCAATCAATCTCACTCACAGTAGAAGTTTTGTTAAAGAAAGTTTTCTCCTTTTTTAGCGATGTAATTACATCTAGTTCTGTATATACATATAATATTCATTTATATGTTGGATTCATTTCTTTAGAAATTGTTAATATTCTCAAGTAAATGTCGTTACAATTTCACCCTCTTAAAAATTGGTGATACGGACAGGATTTGAACACGCAGCTACAATAAAGAGTCAACGTTACATTTGTACGAATAACCTTGTGCAGGATATTTTTTTAAAAAAGAAATGTATATACTCAAAGCACCAAACAAAGTAGTGTTTTCTTTATGAACTTTAAGCCAGGTGGACAGGGAACTTTGTACAGAAAATAATGTTTTCATTCGTTCAAAATCAAAATTATCTGAAAAAGTATCGAAATTGATATTCAAAATTACAAAAGTCTTCGCCTTTGTTCAGTTCAGAATTTAGAAAACTACAATCATAACTCTGTAAAACGTAAAATGTGGTGTCAGGTGTATGTTGCAATATGTAGCGTATATTGGAATAGACCAGAATATATTACTTTAGTGTGGGGGCGTCCATAAGTGCGGGGCTCATTTTAAAGCAGTAAGTTTAATTGGCTAAAAGCAGGTCTTGATGTCAGGCTGAATCGAAAGGCTCTCAGTTCATTATTATTGTAGTGAGTCTCTATGCGCATTAAACTTGTGACCTTGTGCCATGCTAAGCTAAACTTAGTAAATGTCAAATATAATTGAATGTCTTGCCATGGAGCAATGGTTAGCAGTATAAAAGGCCATTGCTACTGTAGTATATTTGATCTTTACTGGTTGCCATACTACTGTTGCTTAGTAACAGTTTCTCTTAAATATTTCTCACTTTTTCTCATTTCTTCCCCTAATCTTCAATGCTTCATTTAAATATGCCACGATTTGCAAGAGAAGCACGTTTGTCACATGCTTGATTTAAAAAAAAGTTAGATAAACTAACGTTTGATTTATGACATTTATGATAAAATAACTTGGCAGAGTTTCTAATGTAGCATCCCGAACCCAGTCATAAATTTCCTCTCGATTCTGGCTAATGCAAATAGGTTTTATTTATGAGTACTTGACATGGGGGATATAAACGTTGTAGTTTCTAGCATTGAAGCAGGCCTTTTTATATGAACAGGCATCGGAAAATTGCGCTATGAACTGTTACATATAAAACAAATGCAAGACAGTAAGATCAAAGTAAGGTTCACCCTTTACAAGGCCCGGGGGTCACTCGAAGTAAAGGACAGTTTATATTGACAGGAGGGGGAGGGGGGATAACGCTTAACTCTAGACTTGAACAGTTTAAGATTGTAGTGATCGGAGAAAGATCCTCTTGAGAGTGTTCCACAGGGCAGTAGTTCGCAGGAGCTAGTCCAAGAAAAGAAATATAAATTGAAAATGGTGGAAAAGGCAATAGGAAATCACTCTACTATCGTTTTCAAAAAGTCATGGCAATTCACAGTTATTAAAGGAAAGGAATCTGTAGAGAGTTGTGATTACCTACATCCTGAAAAGATATCACACACCCACATACACACACATATGTGTGTGTCTGTGTGTGTATGTATGTATGTATATATTATAATCACTTTGCATGAACAAATCCCTAGTTTACTAAGATCAAAATTTATTGTTTCCATGAATGGTTTTTTCAAGTAAGGCATTATTATTATTATTTTGCTAATAAAAAGCGTCCATATTATAGAGGTTAACATGTTAGTTTTCTTAGATCAATCACTACTTTTGTTAGTTCGATCGCCACATGTTCTGTTGTTGAGGCCTTGTGCCAGACAATTCACTGTCTAGAAATATAATTTGTTCAAAATAAAAACATAACTTTCATTATTTCTATCGACATCGTATATTTCACAAACATGCAAATGTTATCATCTATTGTAAAACTTTAGTATTTTTTTTTTTAAACATTTTATGGTACTTTACAGAATTTTACAAGCACAACATTTATTTTTCCGTACTTTTGTTTCTGGAATCATGTCCTCATAACGAATTTGCGAATCAAATGATTGACGTTAATTTTAATTCAGTAACATTATATCAATAACACCTGTACTGAAACTTAGTAAATATTAAAAACGTACAACTGATCATAATTCATTTATTTGGGTAATGTGAATGTGCAAGTAGCGCATTAATGGTGGGCAGAATTCAAATTCCGGCCTTGGTTGTTGCTTTCACTTCTCATTAATTCCTTTGAAAAAGGAACGAATCTATTTCTTCCTTCACCTGCTACAGTTTAAATAGCAGGATACTGAGCTTTCTAGTCTCAGGTGACAACCAGACTGAATTCAAAAACGCGGAAAAGACAACGGGGAAACCACTCCACTTTCTTTCCTAAAATGTCATGGTAGTTCACACATAATAAAGAAAGTTGAGATTGCGGACATCTTGAAGGAACATGGCATTTAAGTAAAATGTTTTCTGTCTTCTATGATATTTCCTTCTTCTAAATAACTTTTTGGTAACATTTCCTTGTCTTGTTCATTTTTTCCTTGGCATTTAATGAATCACACTCCTATACACGTAATATACTTTCCATGTGGAATCAATATATTTTAGTTTTTACAACAGTTTAACCTTTCTATGGATCAAGACGAACCCATGCTATACATCTTAAAAAATTATTAGAAAGGATAACAAGCAAAATAAAGTAAACAATTGCAGAAAATGACAAATGATATATCTGCCCACCAAGTAAATTAATTTGGCGTTTACGGACATATTAAGACATATTATTATTGTTGCAATTAGATGTGAACTCAAAGTAAATATCGCTGCTGTCAATATCTATTCACGCTGCTTGTACTGACCATCCGTGCCTTTTTTCTGGCTATTTTATAAGCAATATGATATTTCGGATATATACCAATACCGCGTCCAATTTCCTTACAGTGCTTATACATATATAAGAATACGATTACATGCATATATACGTAATCTACATTTGTGTACTTGTAAAATCATCTGAAAAGCCCTAAAGGTATAAATATTTACCAGATATCTACTGACCGGAAGTACCTGGCTGGGTCTATCCGGCGTTAATAAAGGCAGGATGTCTGAATTATTTCGGTTGGCCCGCTTGTTAATTCTGTAGAGGTCGGGCTGTTCTTGTTGGAAGAAGTCCATTTAAAACAACAATGATAGGAAGGAAGGAAGGAAGGAAGGAAGGAAGGAAGGAAGGAAAACGAAGAACATGTTAAAAAGCAAAAGGAAGATTGACATGGAGAAAAACGTTGAAGTGAAAGAAAAACAAAACTTGCAGATGAAAGAAGGCAAACGAGAGAGAATAAGTGAAAAGAAGAGAAGGTAATCGATGTAAAATTGGAAATGGGAAAAATTAGAAATGAAAACGGTACTGAAGTAGAAAAGAGAACAAAACAATCAAATAATAGATAGATAGATAGATAGATAGATAGATAGATAGATAGATAGATAGATAGATAGATAGATAACAAAGTAAAATAGAAGTAGGCGCTGGTAGAAATGACTGGCAAACGGGTTTACCGATTAAGGGAAACAGTCTGCAGAGGCAGCTGTCGAAAACCATCGACTGGAACAACCCGGCGATTGTGTGGGAAGAATGTTGCAACTGTAGTGCGAACATAAAACGAAAATGATTAATAAGAAAAAAAAAAAACTATATTTGGAATGAAACATTGGAAGAAAAAAATGTTAAATGAGGAATGGATTATAAAAACTAAAAAAGATTTCGTAACCCCCAAACCTGCCGTGAGGTTGCAGTATAAGAAAATGAATGGGGAGAAGGAATGTGTAGAAAAAAACAAAAACAAAGGTACACTGCTTATTGCATTTTAATGAACAACTCTCTTTCTCTCTCCCTCTGTGTGTGTGTGTGCCTCTCCGTGTGTATGTGTGTGTGTGTTAATTTTCAATTGAAAAGGAAGTTGCTATAATGATGGATAGAAACAATAAAGAAAGAAGAGAACGTAAAACATCTTCCACGTCTCCAAATTGGTCTAAACTTAATCAATATCAGAAGAATGCAGCGGTATATTCTTGGACATGAATAAGATTGACTAATATAATTACATAAAATAAGAATAGTAATTTCAGTTGCCAGATGAGATTTTATTATTATTATTATTAATAATAATAATAATAATAATAATAATAGTAGTAGTAGTTATTATCTAAAACTAATTTAATCTTTTTGGTTTTGAACACAACCCATCGGTTGGCCAACTTTCTCGCCTTCATCAGGTGATTATCATACCCAATAGCGATCACCGACTTGAACATCAAGAGAACATTTCACCTATAGAAAAATTCACAATGATCTAAAGAAATGAATTGTTGGAGACAAAGTGACAAAGAATTACATACTTAATCTAATCTGCAGGACAGGATATTTTAGAGAAAAAAGAAAAGAAAAGTAAATAGTTGACCAATCAATGGTTTGTAGGTGAAATAAAAAGTTTAATTCAAGTTCCCCTTGAAATTCTGTGATAATAGGTGACGAAATGGCCAATTAAAACAAAGTCTGCAAAAAAAGGCGTCAAGTAGATGGTAATTGATTTATAATAGATCATGTCAAAAATTTAACAATTATTACTTGACATTCGTTGAGTTTGTATTTATTTCTTGTACTCCCAACTATTTCATTCCATACGTGTCGGCTGATCATAATTCATTTCTCTGGCCTTCATCAAGTAAGTGCTATATCCAGCCG